TTTCAAATCCTTTGATTAGCTCCTTTAGGTTTGCTACCTTTTCGCTAAAACCTCCTTCACAAAAGATCATTAGGTCATCTGCAAACTTGAAGGTGGGTGACAGGGACTTGGTGTCTCCCTATTCTCCAACCCCTAATGGCATCTTCACTGTTAGCCTTAGTAATGATCCTACTAATTACATTGGCTACTAAGGTAAAAAGTAAGGGTGAGAGTGGAGATCCCCTTGCCTGACACCCCTGCAAGCTGGAAAAAAGCCCCTCACCATACCATTTACTAGAATAGAGTAGTGGCAAGTACTGATACACCAAAAATCCAACAAAACCACTTGCCCCCAAATCCACAGTTTCGCATAACCTCTAATAGAAACACCCAGTCCACCAAATCATAGGCCTTTTCAAGATCCAATTTACAAATGAAACCTCTCTTCCTAGACCTTTTCATTTCCTCCACACACTCATTCGCAATTAAGATCTTATATGTTATTTGTTGCCCTTGAATGAAAGCCCCATGGGTTTCACTAATGATAGAAGGGAGGACTGTTTTGATCCTCAACGAGAGCACTTTAGCCAGAATTTTATAGATGYTTGTCACCAGACTAATAGGCCTATAATCTTTTGGGTGGTTGGCATCATTCTTAGAGAGTTTCAGTTGAACAAATCTCAATATATAACAACCATGCTCTGGTAAGGATGTAACCATAATATCTACCATAAACCAATAACCAGAAATAGCTCCAAAGCAGTGAGCCTAGCTTCTTGATAGTTTTTCTGCTTCTTACATTTTGTAGAAAGGCTTGGTGTTTCTTTCTTGATTGTCCCTAATAAGTTCAGAATATTTGAGGTTTAGAGACCTCAGAGAACTAGTAGACTAGTAGTCATGAGAGAAGCCAAGGCCAAGAGGTACATGAGGTACATCAAAACCCATTTTATCTGCATGCATGCACACAGTTGAGGATTAGAGACCAAAGAGAACTAGTAGCCATGGGAGGAGCCAAGGCCAAGAAGTACAGGAGGTACATCAAAACCCACTTTATTCACACACACACACACACAAAAAGGTATCATTTACATGACCCTGTTCCATGGCCCCTTTATTCATCCTTTGCACTTGAACTGACCACTTCAGTTTGCTCCTTATTCTCCATGTCACCTAGTTCCTACCTACAAAATGTGTACAAACCAGTAGTAGATATTATCATCTATTAAGCCAGCTCAATCAACATCCATATATACTTCAACCTTATGATCCCATGCTTGGAGAAAAGAGTCCTTTTCTAGGGCGCTTCTTTGAATACTTAAGCATACATTCAATTGCAGTTAAATGTGATGTCTGGGGTAAACAAATGAATTAAACACCTACAAGATAAGCAATGTATAGACATGCCATGGATAAATACAATAGCCTCCCAAGTAAATGTTCAAATAGCTTGACATCTGGTTATTATCTAACCATTATTTTCCCCAAGTCTATGGTTGAGATCAATGGGAGTATCAGCTAGTTTATAACCCTATTTTCCTGTGTCTTTGAAAAGATCCAAGATGTATTATTACCTTGGGAAAAAATATGCCAAGTCCTTGACTTCAAATTGAGATGCTAAGTACACTTTTAGCTTCCATGTCCTGAATTCCAGTAATAATAATATTGTCACAACATATACAACCAAGGCTGCTATATGGTTCCAATCCCTCTACATAAATACAGTGTGATATGCTCAGCAATGTTTGTAACCAACTTGATGGACTACCTTACTAAACTTGTCAAGCCATGCTCTTGGTGATTGTTATAGGCCATATAAAGATTTCTTCAAACAGCACACCTTCTCAAAGCCTTGGAGCTGAACACCTAGAGGCCTAACCAATGTTTGTAACCCACTTGATGGACTACCTTACTAAACTTGTCAAACCATGCTCTTGGTGATTGTTATAGGCCATATAAAGATTTCTTCAAACAGCACACCTTCTCAAAGCCTTGGAGCTGAACACCTAGAGGCCTAACCAATGTTTGTAACCCACTTGATGGACTACCTTACTAAACTTGTCAAACCATGCTCTTGGTGATTGTTATAGGCCATATAAAGATTTCTTCAAACAGCACACCTTCTCAAAGCCTTGGAGCTGAACACCTAGAGGCCTAACCAAATAGACTTTTTCTAGATCATCATCATTAAGGAATGCATTCTTGATATCTTAAATTCTTAATTGATGAAAATGCAAAGAGAAGTTGCCACAAGGGAAAAAGATTCTTATGGAGTTATTTACTTCTTTTTGGCCACAAGTGCAAAATTTTCAATATAATCAACCCCATACATCTGCCTAAATCCTCTTGCAATTAGTCTAGCCTTGTATCTTTCAACTGAACCTCTGAACCATCAACCCAATGCTACTAGATGCTTTATAAGAGACTCCATTTACACCCCACATGTTTGTTTCCCTTCTGGAAAATGAACTCACTCCCGTGTCTGGTCTTTGTGAAGGGCATCAATTTTTTCTAACATAGTGTTTTTTTCTCTTAGAAGATCTCAGGGCCTTTGCAACACTTAGGAATAGATATACTATACACAATAGACACAAATCAGGATATGAAGAAGCTAAAATAACACAGCTGAAATGAGCTACAGGGTGCTATATACATGATCCAGTACCTTTGTAGTAGCAATGAGAAGATCAAGATCATTAGGGATAAGATCAGGATTTACCATATGAGAATCGGGCTCCATAGTTAGAGGCAGAGGCCAACCCTTATGGCCATGAGTATATACATGCAACTTAGGCTAACGCATTGACACAACAATGGGTATCTATAAATGAACTTGTCTCTCCTCAATATTACTAATTTTTGCCCTTGAGGAGAGAAGAAAACATGGATGAGACTCAAGAAAGGTTACATCGATGGATATAAAGACTTTTTGGGATATAGGTCCATAACAACACTTGCATCTTTTGTATGAGAAGGGATACCCAATAAAGAAACAAGGAAAAGATTTAGCATACCAGTAGGTGCCAAATTTTGGACAAAACACTTACACCCAAACATCAAGGAATGGGGAATAGAGGTGAAGAAGTAAACGTTATTCGATGTATGGCTAGATAACTATAAAACATGCTCAACATGTAATTGATGAGATAAGTGACATCAAGAATAATCTCCCCAAGAATGGTTGGGTATGTTCAGCTGAAGGAAGCCTCATAAACAAAGTGTCAGTACCTGTCTAAACCTATACTTTATTGTTGACATGCTTAATAGATAGAACATCCAAAAGTATTAATGACTTGATGTCATATTAATAAATTCAAAAATACAATGTAATGCAAACACAGATTAGCAAGGCAACATGGATAAAAGAGAATCTACCATTGGATTTATCTTTACATTTGGGGAAGGATCAATTTCATGGAGAAGTAGAAGATACAGCAGTATCAAAAGCAACAAATGAAACAATCTTCATTAAAAACTTAGCAAGAGAATCACAAGCTGTGCAAAATAAAACAGAACCCATTGCATTATCTTGTGACAAGGAGGAAACTATTTTTATAACTAAGGACCATTACTTTCATTAAAAAATAAAAGTGCATTAAAACTAGATATTATTACTTGAAAAAAATAGTTTAGGAAGGGAAAATCACCACTATACAATTTACTTCCAAGTGAGACCTTGGGGCACTTTAAAGCACTACCTCCTGTATTGTTGGGTAGTCACGATAGGGAAATATATCCAGAATAATCAAAAATGATCTTTAGGCCAAGTGGGAGATGTCAGAATTATGTGTCTTTTATGGATGACAAAGAATGAGCTAAAGAATGTCACGTGGTGTCTTTTAGTGGCTGGAATGGTTAAATAATCCAGAGGATGTCATGTGGTGTCAGAATTATGCGTCTTTTTGTGATGGAATGGTTAAATAATCCAGAGGATGTCACATGGTGTTACAAGAAGGAGCTAAAGAAATTTAAATCGCTGACAAAGAATATGTCTGAAATAATACAGTGGGTGGGGAGATCAGCTAATGCTTTTTGCTGATGTCTTGGCAAAACAAGGGACAAATAGGGAAACATTGTTCTGCACTCAACTGTAATTTTGTATCAGCACTCGTGTACTTTTTTCTTTAGCTTATGTGTTTTCTGTTTGGAGAGGTGGAACCCCGTACCTTTCCAAGGAACAGTTCATGTAATCTGTCTTTGATTTAATGAAAATGTGATGTTTTATCTATCAAAAACAAATTTAGTGGGTAAATCCATTTCTTCTGGTCTTGGACTATCAAACAACATTGCCTATCTCAAATAATAATCAACATATACTTTATTCAATCCAATGCCTTAAAATAATCTTAATTTTTCTTTGTACCCCAAATTGTACCAAAAGTTTGTTTGATTTCAATGTAGGGAAGTACTTTCATTATTTAAAATGTTTTGCACTAAGTTAGGGTAATCTTCAAATATTTTCTTTGATAACTTCAGCTTGACTGATTTGTAGTTGACAGCAATCAGTGGATCCCAAGATCTAAATCTTGTTTTCCTTATAGCCTGCTTCTTTTAAGTGTGTTGATTTGTCACTGTCAGCTAACTCCTTTTCTTTAGATCATATTGTCAAACCCTAAAACCTAATTATTTACCCCCAACTCTAAATTATTTCTCTACTATTTCCTTAATTAAAATGTAACTAATTCCTCTGTGGCAACTCGCAAAAGCCACCATTTCTACCCAAGTAGTACCATCAATTTATGTCATCACTAGAATTAGAAATCCAGTCCCAAATCAAGGATCAGACATTATTCATGATGTCAATGTGTCATAGGCTTGATAAAGAAAAAAGATACATTATTTTGCTTCATTTTCCACAAAAAAAAATGATAATCCTTCTCTCCAGGTAACATTATATTTCAGAAAGTAGACAGCTTAAATAAGCATTTTCTTCTCTAAGCAACAATCTGACTCGTGCTAAATCTTTTTTTTTTTTTTGAGCATTGCCCCAATCACTTATAATAAAATAATGGTTTAAGGGTTTTTATGTCTTCTGAAATACCTGAACAGACACTGATCCCTGCTTCACGAACATGATCAAGAGTTTTAAGGCGTTCATCGTAAGACCTTGTGGTTATGATTTTAGAGTAATACTCCCTTGAGGTATCAAGGTTATGATTGTAAGCTGTAAGCCCTGCCTTCTTAAGTTCCATTGCTTGCTGCTTTTCTAGCATGCCCAATGTGCAGCAGACTTCCATGCCCATATCCCTGGCACATGACAAATACTACACACATAGGTTAGAATTTAAACATTGCAGGCCATACCTTGTAACTCTAGTTTGTAACCTCAAAATACATAGCACACAACCAGTGGAACTGGAAGAAGTAATTTAAGCACCCAGGATTTATTACATAAGCATGACTCAAGCATGTTAGCTGAGTGGAGTTTTTATTTTATGCATGTTGGTTTGTCAGTGTTTCTGTTGGGGGATGCTTTCTATGTTGACTGTGATCCTTTCTGGGTGGGAAGGGGGAGTTCTCCTTTTTGTCTATAAAAATCTTTATTATCTGGAAAAATAAAAAGCAATGTTAGCTGAGGAACCCAATGCTGCTGAATTTACTAAATTTACTAATTATTCAGTCTAGTATACCTAATACCAATATAGAGCCTTTTTACCTACAGTTAAAATTTTGTTGTTGCTTTTTCCCCTGGGCAAAGAGCTTACATCACAGGAGTAGTGCATGCCCCAAACTCCCCAACCCCAATGAAGGCAGGATTGAATCCCAGGTCTCTGCTCCAACCTGCAGGAATCTTACCAGGGAGCTAACTGGCACCTTCACCTTAATTTCAGATCTCTATATTTTTTTAACTCCAAAGTTTACTCCAAGTGTAGGTGACAAGGTGTGGCCATAGTTGTTAAGGCGACGCCTAGGCAACAAAGCACCCTTTGAGGCTCACCTCACCTAATCGCCAAACAGTTTTGTACTATGTATTATAAAATACTTTTTGATTATTTATTTTTTGACATTATAATTATAAAATAGGCACTATTAAACCCCCAAAGACTTTAAAACCTGAACCAATAAGGCAGAACTTAAAACACATTTTCTACTACTACTACTACTACTATTATGAATAATTATCAAGGAAATATGGTCATGGTACCTAGGAAACTACCCTAGGATCTATGTTTTCTACATAAAAAAATCAACCGCCTAGGCGACATCTAGGCACCCACCTAGGCAACTAGGCGCCCCCCTGTCGCCTAGCCTCACCTTCGCGCCTTGAAAACTATGGGTGTGGCCACCATAAAATCAAACAATAAACCTAGGAGGGGGATGTAAAAGCCTTACCCCTCTAGAAAAACTATACAGCAGACCTCCAGATAATAAAAACAGGACTAGAGAGTCTGCGAGAACCAAGACAATCACTGAATGTGCAAGGAATACCATGCCCATCAGCCCAAAGAAGAGCTTGAAGCAGACGTGGAAGAACAAGCCAACAGTTGAAGAAGAAACCTTTTTCACCATTGTCACAGCCTAATTTAGAAAGACAGTCTACCACTTGGTTAGCTTCTCTTTAAATGTGGCGGAATTCAATATCCATGTAGCTTTGAAAATCCAAAATACACTCATGTCAATACCATAACCGCTAAGGTAATGAAGCTGACTGTATAATTATATTAAATAAAACTTTGGAGTCAGTTTCCACCACCACCTTTGATATGCCCAGCGATCTCACCATATCCAAACAATCCACCAACACATCAGTTTCAGTCAAAAGATTAGATCTTCCCCATAGCAGTTGTAGAATGCAGAAAAAATTATTTCTAGCATCAGTAAGGACTCCCCCTCCACCTAACAACCCTGGACAGACACATGAAGCTCCATCAACATTTAGTTTCATGTAATCCAAAGGCACATGAGTAACGAGAACCACCCTCAAAATGGTTCCTCAATAAGGCTGAATAGCAACTTCCAAGCAGTGCATAGACAAACTCTGATTCCATGAGAGAGATTGAAAACTGTCTCAAAGAGCCAATCTCCTAAAACCAACGCTCTAACACCCAAATGGTTCACTCTGAAAATTGGTAATTCCCCTACATTCACATATTTCTATCCTTCAAAATCTCCCAAGTAATGAAGCAATCAAGTAAACCAGCCATTCAAGCCCATTGATTATTTGAGTCTTTAGCTATATCTAACCACATAGTGAGCAGTATACGAATGGACTCATCAAAACTCCACATCCATGATGCTACTAAACTGAGACCACACCTTTCTTGCAAGACGCCCCCCTCCCCACGAAAAGATGATTAACATCCTCGGTGGTGGCATTCCTACAACAGCAACACCTGAAAGCTAGAGAGACGCCCAACATCCCATGAGCAATTTCCAATTTAAAAAGCAACCTTTGGTCTGAAGAAAAAGGGGAAGCTGCTTTGGAAGACCATTCTGGCGCCTGGTTTAGCGTCTATATGGTCTGAGAGAAAAAATCGAATTTTCTGTAACAAAGTGAGAAGCACAGAGGACCTAATCCAGCTAACTGTGAACAAGCTTGTCTCTTGGATATCTGTAACACCTGAGCTTAAGCATCAGAATGTGTTTCAGATACTTTACTCTCAATCTCTGTGGAATTTATAACTTGTATTTCTCTCTGGTGAGGTGCACCAGGGAGATGTTGTAATCCTTTTCATCCATCATCAATAAAATTCTTACCTTACCTTTTAAAAAAGAAAACAAAAGAAACATACATGCAGGAAGCAAATCCCACCTTTTCCTCCCACACAAATGTTTCCTCAAGGACCACAAGGTCGTGTCTATACGAACGTCAAATACAGCTGATCATGGTTTCCCTAATGCAATCGTGTGCTTTGCTCCAATCATACTCTTAAGTACTTAGTTAATCTTTCACAAGATCTTCTGATGTGAAGTCACAACGGGACTCCGCTTAGCAATATCATACTGGATTTATGTTTTGAATCTCACATAGCTCAACGAGGTCATATTATCCTCGACCCATGAGATCCTTTGTCACTAGATCTTGCTCAATCTAGTGAGATCACATTTTTTCTCCTACTAAGTAGTAAGTACTAATGCAATACTGCGAGTCCCCATGACGCAGCGTGGAAGCAATGAGAACCGGGGCTGGCTATGCAAGCACCGGGCGTTCGCTAGCACCTAGCGAAAAACACCGATTTCTCTAGGAGAGAGAAAAGGTGGCGAAAATAGGAAGGAGAACTTGAAGAAATTCTGAAAATTTGAAGTATGAATTGATGAATAACTTTGGGAAAATAGCAGTATTTATAATACACTTGGGAATTGTAAAAGAACTAGGAAAGAACATGAGTCTTGATCTTGATCTTGATCCTCTTGGGCTGTCTTGATAAGGTCGAACCCTCTTGGAATTCTTGGGCTTGATCTTCC